AGCCAGTTGGTCCAATGACGGTATCCAATGGTGGATGAAGGTTCACTGCATGTTCGGTCTTTCCAGTGCACAATGTTGATTTATATTAAACTTAGCTCATATCTGACTCCAATTTTAGTTTGAGGTGGTTTAGAATATTAATATAATTATCCTCGTTTTTTCTGACTCCAATTATAAAACATTGATAAGATTATTTTGTTTCCTTTCACATTATTTTAGATTATGATTGAATATTCTTTTGATTTGTTATTATACCTTATTCTCATTTACTCAAATTCCTATAGCATCTCGAGTCTTGCACCGGCCGGGTATACAATCTCTTAATACAAGCTTGTCAGTCTTGGTCATTAAACAGAGGCGATTAACCACTCTCCTAAGAAGGCAGAACTCTACTTACTCAATTTAGGAGATTTTTATGTGGTCCCCATAGATCTGTTATCTACTTAATCAAGACAAAGTATTTTAATAATAATCGCACAGGATTATAAGTTTGTAGATGAAGGCCTAAATATCCACATTTAAATTAGTTTCAACAATATTTTGTTGTTCTAAATAGAAAACCCATAGTTGGCCTTTTGCAGTCTACGTATACATGAAATAATGCCAATTTGCTAGTCGGATCTCTAACAACATTGTATAGTGTGCCACACTGCTCCGTCTAACATGTTTTAGTCCGTTACTAACCTGTACAGTGGCTTGTAGTGCTATGGACAACAACATTTATCAGTGATAATAACACGAGGTTTGAATAATTCAAAACATAATTTATTAGTCAGGTAAATGTATTATGCCAAATTCAATCAGTCAATTCATAAACGATCAATACAAAACATCAAATTATCAAAGATAAATCCAAGATTAAAAGATGCATTCCTGACTTTTTACATAACGTGTAAATTTTACATAACGTGGAGCCTAGGCTCCATGTTATGGGCTGATCTGGGCAGACAGAATCGCGCTGGGCCTTTCTCAGACCTTACCTTAAATAATCCAAGAATTCCCTCAAGGAAGGGGGTGTGAATAACAAAAGGCATTCACACTTAGTGGAAATTCACACCCTTCACAGTGGTTCAAAAGATGCCTGATGTCTATTTCTGAGAGAATGAGACCATTGTACCAATCGCACTGAGACATTTCAAATGATATCAAACATGATAGTTAAAGTCAGTTGGTTAATCTAGAACATTCAAACATTGAAATGACCATATGTGAGATGGGGTGGATGAAGCCGAGTTTCAGCAGACTCAGATGTAAATGCAGCAGGAACTAGTTTTTCCCGCATTCCCACCTGCTGGGTTGTTAAGTCACCAGTCTCTGTTTTCAGCTCATGTTTTGAATTGTCAAAGATATCAAAATATTTGCAATATTTCAACTCTTACAGCGTGAAGGGTAATTTTTTTTCCATTTGCATCTAAGATGCTTGAAAATAACTCCCATACATCAGACTTGCCTGATGTGGATCTCCTAACTGTAAACTGACTGTTTTCTAATGCAAGCTGAAGGACAGCTCATCTTCACTTTGCTCTCCCATGTTGGTAAAGCCCGCTCTGAGGACTGGTAAGCAGATGATGCACTCATAGACTGTGCAAAAAAAAAAGCATGTGCAGAAAGATCTGGTCATAAAGCACTTAGTCATGCATTCATCATGTGTAACAGTCATGAGCACTGGCTGTATCGGTGCTCAAGAACAATGAGGATATCACAGGTATGCTTTTCCGAAATGACATCGGGACTCGGTAACCATATATTGCTAGGCCAAAAGCTCCTGTTCAAATTACACCAGAGTTACCGACCGCTACCGCGTTTTATTCAGAAATTTATTCCCATGCTGCAAGAAATCTGGTTGGATCCCCTGGCTGTAATGCAGACCTCTAGTGCCGACTGATGATCAACAGTAAAAATTACCTATTTTACCTCTTCCCAACAAGGAGAAACACCAACAATCAAGAATGTCTTATTATTTTGTGCCATGGTTTTGCAATCATAATATGATGTTATAATAGACATCAATGGGCCAAAAACAGCCACCAACATAATGAAAGGTTAAACAGTGGCAAAGAATTATTAAAAAAGAATTGTTTGAAAAGCAAAACACAAATCTTGACTACGTAGTGGCTGTTTACATTAAAACATTGGTTTATTTGTTTGAACATTCTCACCCAGCAACAGGGCAACAACCAATCATGAGACACTGAGCGGGGCTATCTGTAAATTCAACAAATGATAAACGTGGAATGTTCCAAGTGTATTTTTTGTACACTGTAAAAAATGTTACTTAGATCTAACTTATAAAAAGTGAGGCAAGTGGTTGCATCGGACGTTTTAGGTTGATTCAACTTCCAGCCTTTTTTAAGTATTTTAAACACTAAAACATTGCTTAAAACAAATGCAATAAAATTAAGTTGAGCCAAATAATATTTCTAAAATTACTCAAATCAGATAAACTTACTTTTTTTGTTAAACTTAACTTACTTATACATTGCTATATGTTGACTGTACTCATTTTAATTAAGTATTATGAACTTAATGATCTAAATAAAATTAACCATGCATATGTCATTTAAAACGAATTTAATTGACTTCTGGCTGTAACCTCAGAAAATAAATTGGCGTTTCTATATTGTAAGCACAATATACACTAGTAAACACAGATAAACAGACTTTCCTGTCAATAACAATTAAATAAGAATGGGAAGATGGCTTAAAGACCATAACATGTATTCAATATCAATCAATGTTCCTTTTAATAGTGACTACAAAATAGGCCATTAATGTGGCTACACGTACACAATACATAAATAAAAACATTAATAATACCAGATCCTATTGAGAAATCATCCAAGGCAACTCAGTGAGGAGATTTGCATATTTTGATGAAGATTTTGGATGCATAATGTCCAGTCCCACAAAGAGTCTCTAATACATCTTAAATGTATACAGTTTTGATGGATACTTGAAGTCGAGGACATCGGTAAGTCCAAACAGGAGCCATCATGCATTTGACAGGTTTGGCAAACCTCTGACAGTCCTATGATAATCCAAACTGTGTTGGGCTGATGGCAAATTTTTCCCGTGGGCAGCCGCATGCACCTCTGATTCCTCACAACTCTATTGGTAGAGACAAAAAGAAACAGGAGTTCAGGTGGTTGCTACCAAACAACATTAAATAGCTAAATACTGAATAGAAAATAACTACAAGTGAAGTTACAAAAGTCCAGTGAGAATGATGCATGGATGAAACACCTTAGTTTATCAGTTAAAAAATACCTTAGTTAAAATTACCTAACTTTTATTTAAAAAATAAAAAAAGGTTATAGAGGTTGTGTAATTACATTATTCCAGGTGTTTTTAGTTATCAAATTTTAAAGAAAACTGTGATTTTACTCAGTGTAACAGTGCATGTCATTGTGGTTTCCTGTCAATCACAGAATTGTTAAAATTTAGGTATTACATTTTTTTTGTTTATTTTGGCAACTTATAAAGCATAAGAATGTTTATTTAATTTAGATATTAAAACTGTTTGAAAACGGCTATAAGAAAATTATAGAATACAAATTCTATAATTTAATTGTCATCTTCATTTTGCACCAAACTTTGCACGTCATAATACAAATTTTATTAAATAAATAAATAAATACATTGCCATTTTACACATTACATTAAGGTTTACATTAAATTTTTGCTAAAGCTACATTTAATTGACTTTTTCTTCAAATTTAATGTCACTGGCAAATGACAGTTCAGTGATTCAGTGTTATCAGTTAGCTTTATTGAAAGACTGACAGATAATAAGAAACTGCATTAGGATATTTTTATACTGTTTTTACTGTTGCACACATAAAAAAAATCTTCAGATATCAAATGTAAGTTAATTCTATGGAGCCCACTATTGTTTGCAATTTTACCAATGTTTTACTTACCTGCAAATAATTATAGCTGTAATTGTATCTAATGTTTTTCTTACCTGGATGTGAAGTTTGAAGATCCACAGGTAACAAAATCACTTTGGTATCTAAAGACCAAGAACATGCATTTTAGAATGAGGTGCATACAATTTAAATGGTTCTGTAAACATCAGTAGTAAATGTAATTTAAGTTAAAATAAATTGTAAATTTGTAATTTATTCACTATGCAGCATTAAAAAACTTATGGACTAAATCTCTAAAACACAAACTTTAAGTTATACTTTCTCTTACGTTAAACACAAACTACTTAACTGTTGCATACGTTTCTGAATTTAATATCCATCCTTAATGTGCTGCTATAACTTAGGTGAGCTAATTTTAGCTAAGTTAGCGCTAACAAACTGAACCCCCACACCCCGACCGCCCACCAGTGACCTTGTTAATCGGTTCTGCAACGTTAGTTTTACCTACTAAGTGTTTTAAAACTACTTTCACTATTTTTCTCAATAATATCACTTTTAATCGTTAGTATAAACTAGCGTTGGTTAGCGTTAGCCAACTTAGCTTTCCATGTGAGAGCAGTCTAACTGTTAACATACCTGAGGCTACAGTACAATTTACAAAGCTAAAACCTCACCTGCCTAGCGAAGACAGCAGTTTTGCATGACTTTACAATTATCATTCGGCTAAATTTGCAACTTACCGTGTTAATCAGATCCGCTGCTGGGAGCAGTTAATGTCGACCATTGCAGAAGCTGCGTCTGCCTGCTAAATCCCGGGCAATGAAAAAAGAGTCACGCCAAACTATTAAAATCACGTTTTATGAACACCTGCCCACATCGACAGCTGCTCTAATAAATTGTCTGTGTCAACTCACTTTTATAACATTTATTCTACACAATAACCACGTACAAAAATCTACTCAAATAAATTGCATTAGTTTTATTCAAAATATACAGTTATATAAAAACTGATATATTTTAAGTAAAGAGGAAGCAAATTTTATTTTTTTGGTATAAAACAAATAAAATTAACTAGATTGCAATTATTTAAAGTAGATAGAACCAACTTTGTGAGTGTAGCACTTTTTACAGTGTAATGGGTAAGGGTCCGGCCTGCCCCTAACCCTAACTCTACCCCTAATTGTGCAGAAAATCCACACTTTTTTAATGGACATCAATAGGGCAAAAACAGCCACGAACAAAAGTACATTTGAACAGTACACATCATTTTATTCACGTTTATAACAGTTGCACTTTGTGTTACATTACATGTTTTACTCACATAAAACATGAAATCAACCAATCGCTGTCTTTTAGAAACCTCTGGCTCATAAAACGTTTGCTTGCAATGATTGAAGAATAAAAGAAAACATTAAGTCACATCCTGTCGGCCCCGTTCGCCATGGTCAGTGGGTTCTGGGCTCCTATTAGAGATAGCCATAACAGTCAGACATAGATAGCCATCGCTGCTGTCCCTGAGGAGCTGGACTTGTCTACGTCACCCCGCCGCTTGGACCCTTAGACAAATACACAAGTAAGAGAGAGTGAGAGAAAGAGAGAGAGTGAGAGAAAGTGAGAGAGTGAGATGTTCACGACACATTTATTACAACTTTATTACATCAATATATACATTTATACAACTATAACCTGCAGAACTTTGTTCACAAAAAATAGTCATCAATAACCTCAGACAAAGCCCCTTAAATACACCATATTAATTAATTTTTTGCATAATATTTTCTTACTTTTTTCTTATTTTCTGAATTTAACAGAATAAAAATACTGCCTTTAAATCATTACAAGGCCCATGATCATTTTGTTCCTTTTTTGAGATATACATTGGCACTTTGGGATGCACTACAACAGTGCACTTGAACAGTTGACACATGGAACTTTAGACAAAAACAGATATAGGAAGAGAAAGATTGAGCAAGACTAAGAGAGAGAGAGAGAGACACCAGAGCAGCTAAGAGCAAAGAGTTGGAGGTGTTAATAGAGCAGGATTAGCGACCGGCCACAGTGGTCCAAACACAGACAGATATTCACTGAGGGTTTGAATCTACAGGTCATACGTGCCAAGCTCTCTCACAGACTCTCATGATGACAAAACATCTGTAAAGATTCCCATCCTAGATTATGACTTTTCCATATTTAAGTCAAAAGGTGTGGGAAGAGAGAGTGTGTTTTATTTATAAGACAATAATAATTGACATCATTTACATTTTAATCCTTTAATTATCGCATGTGTTTGGACTGCGGGGGAAACCGGAGCACCCGGAGGAAACCCACGCGAAGGCAGGGAGAAGATGCAAACTCCACACAGAAACGCCAACTGAGCCGTGGTTCGAACCAGCGACCTTCTTGCTGTGAGGTGACAGCACTACCTACTGCGCCACTGCCTCGCCCCGGTAATGCGCAATTTAAATATAAATTCAAGAGTTCATACTTAGCTGATGATTGATATAGCTTGTTTGGCATGCTCTTCCGAGTGAGATCCCTAAGCTAATAAGATCCTCGGGCCTGGGGATGCCTCCCGTTTGCAAGACGAGAGGGTAGTTTGAGGTCAGGTAGATCGCGAGAACTCCCCTGCAATAGTAGCTAACGAACAGATAGCGGTTGCTCTTAAGAGATAACTACTTACTAGCAGCATGTCAGTGCTGCATGTTTTTGGACGGTGGGAGGAAACTGGGGAACCCGGGGAAAACTCAAGTGAGCACAGGGAGAACGTGTAAACTCCACACAAAAACGTCAGCTGGCCTGGTAAGGACTAGAACCATTGACGTTCTTGCTGTGAAGCAACAGTGCTAACCACTGGGCCACCGTGACACCCGTCTAGGAAAAGAGGAGGAGTAGGGGTGGAAGGGGGGATTCTTCAAAACTAAGATGGCTGTTATATGGAACTTAGCGTAATTACAGTGGCTTAGCAATCGTCTGATTGGTGAATCATAAATTGAATAATGCTAATAATGTTATTTTTCACACAAGACGTCTTGAATTGCTATTAATCAAGCATTTTGTTGTCTTTGCCTGATAGAGAGCATTCTGGGATTATCTTCACCTCTTGTAAGTCAACCCAAACCCAAATGCGATCTTTAATTTGATGAGTAGTTTGACTGAGATTAAGATTAGAGTACATTTTCGAATCGTCCCTCTGTTAACCTGCTTGCACAGCAGCATAATTATGCCACCTACCTGCTGCAACAGTCCTGAATGTGCCTTGAAATGCCGTGTAGATCAGCAGCTCACCAGGCTTTGCTGTGTGTGAGCGTTTGCCTGGTGTGGGTTAATGAGAAGAGGCTGCAGGTAGAACACGAAGTGCTCTTCTGTCTGTCCCCCAGGCTGTCCTGTCTCAACTGAAGAGGTGTTAACTCAGATTCATTTCAGCGAGACGGACAGCTCAATCTCCGAGATGCTTAGCCCGAGGCCTTCACTGCCAGTGAAAGTCTCTCTCTCTCTCTACCCACAAAGCACTGCTCGGGAACAAGAGACAGAGCCTGTCTATTTAAAACCCATTATGATTCCTTTTATCACAACATATTATAACAGCGACCCCGGACACAGACGCTTTCAATCAGATCTGTTTCTGAGCGGGACTCCAGGGGCCCGGAGAGAAGGGTTTATAGCCAGTGGCCCTGTCGGTTTAAGAGGGTCGATGGTGTGATGGCACTAGCTGGGGTATTGACGGAAGTGCCGAACATACTATAGGACGTGAAACGGGACGCTGGCAATCCAACGTGAGATGCTGTCAGATTAGTTCCATAGGGGACTGCTGTCACTGGCCCTTTGTGTGTGTGTGTCCGTCCACTGCCAGATATGACTAGAGGCTGTGTGTGTTTTGGAATTATCCGTTTTTCCTGATACACTTATTGACATAGGGATTCTCGACAAGTGGCAAAAAAAGTCAACTACAAAGTATATGGGTCAGTGTATATTTTGGTGATTGGATTTTCATTTTAGAAATGGATATTGAAAAACGAAAAACGAGACGTTGAAATTGAAATTTTTTTTTATTTTGGTTTTTGAATTTTGAACGAAAATCAAAAAACGGCTCGTTTGTTGTTAAATGATGCAGAAAGTGAATACTCCTTTCAGATCAAATTAATTCTTAATTTTTTTTTTTAAATAATATGACTTATTAAAATGTGCGTAACGTACAACTGTATTAATGCCTCCCTCATTTGAAATGATTCGTGGTCAAACTTCAGGAAGTGGAAGTGTTATGGTTTTAACAATATTGTTAAAAAGTGTTCAGTAAAGCAACTCGATGCTTGCATGTAATGTCGAAAGGTAAAACATGCCAACAAAAAATAAATATATAGCCTATGACCGGCCCTTATATGAGAAATATGTTGTGTTAATTGGGAAAACATGTCTTAACAAAATCCTGTTATAACAAGAATATACCTTTTAAAACAGTATTATTCATTCATTCATTCATTTTCTTGTCGGCTTAGTCCCTTTTATTAATTTGGGGTCGCCACAGCGGAATGAACCACCAACGTATCCAGTAGGTTTTTACGCAGCGGATGCCCTTCCAGCAGCAACCTATGTCTGGGAGATCTCTGTGGGAGAAACCGGAGCACCCAGAGGAAACCCACACGAACGCAGGGAGAACATGCAAACTCCTCACAAAAACGCCATCTGAGCCGAGGTTCGAACCAGCGACTCAGCAACCTTCTTGCTGTGAGGTGACAGCACTACCTACTGCGCCACTACGTCGCCTATTACAGTATTAAGTGGAAAAAAAATAGCCTATAGTAGGCTAGCAGGTCAGTATTGTGTCACTGAGTTGGCCTATCTGGTTTCAAAATATAAAAAAATAAGTCTTTATTCGTTTTTGTTTTCTGGGGATTTTTTTTTTATTCTTTGTTACTCAAAATAAAAAATGAAAGTCAAATAATTTTTAAATTTTGTTTTTCCGTTTTTCACCATGAAAAAGAAAAACGAGCTATTTTTTGATTTTAGTTTCCAAATTCAAAATCAAAATCAAAAAAATGCGTTGAATTTAAATTTTCGTTTTTTATTTTAAAACGAAAATCATAAAACGGCTCATTTTTTTTGTTTTTCAATATCCATTTCTAAAATGAAAATTCAATGACCAAAATATACACTGACCTATAAGGGTAAAATTGATAATGAGTTTTAAGATGACACAGATGAACTCACTCATGGTTCAGCCTAGAGCTGAACGATTTGTGAGCGTCTAATTGCGATTTATCTGATCAAAATTGTGATTTGCGATTTAAAGAGCGACGTTCTATAATATCATAAAAGAGCTACACTTTTGTTGTGGGGGTTTTAATAGCACCAAAGAAAGACCAAGTCGAATTAAAAAGTATGCAACACTATGCTACTGTTTATTTAAAAAAGGGTTGGGCCGACAGACGATGCCATCATCCATCGCCGATGGCCATAGACAACACGATGCTGAGCTGTACTTACAAACTTTTATGTGCAATCTGGTACATAAAATGATTGTATCTAAACAACTTTTAAAAAGTCATTTAGTTTCCAAGGCAATATTTTACATTTTTTTAAAAATGTTTTCCATTTAAACCTCCGTCAGGAAGACGATACTTCATTATAAACACATTATAAAGAATAAACACAGACTTAACTTTATTTTACTGTTTGTACGTAGCTACTAAATATATATTGTTCTTATTATATTATGTCTATACCTAAAGTGTTTACATGCCAAGCTGGACACCAGAATCCCAAAATAGTGCATACAATATCAACATAAAAATGGCGATTATTATTATTTTGTGTGTTTATTCCGACTTTCAGGAACTGTCTCATTTTTCTCACAGCGCAGGACACATTCTCTGATGTTTCCATGTAAATAAACTGAGACATGCAGCCTTGGAGTATTTTTAGCAGTAAATTAGAATAGTTTATGTGAGCAGTCACACTGATAGAGCTTTATTTCTACAGCAAACTTCTAAGGAGACTCGTTATTCACTAGTGAAACAAAAGAATGAATGTATGAGGGGAATCAGAGAAGGAGAAAGCTTGCGATGGCATTTGCTGAAAAGCAAGATAAATGATGTGTACACACACGCCGTGCCCTGGCAGTGTCCGCGGGTGTGGTGGATTCCATCTTAAACCCAGTTTGACCTCGCCGATGCTGTGTTTAGTGTCATTTATCGTAAGGTTTCCTGTAACCATCCCTTTTGTTCTGATTAGCGTTGTCATAAGTTGAAGCGTGTTATGAAAACGGAAGGACAGCTCTTTTTTTTTATTGACTTGTAACAGGAATCATGGGATTCTGATATGCCTCATTGAAACAGAGCAATCCAGATATGTGGCAAACCACTGAAACTGCCGTGAATGTACACACATAGCAGGAGAATTACGTCAGTTTTTTTTTTGCGTCATACTTTTTTTAAATCGCCTCCTTTTTGAACCATCAAAATTGACATTTTGTATTACACCTACATCTTATATGCATGCATAAAAATGTTACGTACATTATATTCCCACACTTTCTGCTTCATTTAACAACTATATATATCTATATATATATAGATATATATATAGTGTTTATATATACTTGACAAAAGTTTTGTGGCCTATTCAAGTTTTAGGAACAACAAATAATAACTTGTGCTCTAGTTGATCATTTGATATCAGAAGAGGCTTAAATGAAAGGTGAAGGCCTCTAGATTACGCTTATTCTACCACAATAAAATATGATCATGCCTTGATTTTTAATGATTTAATTAGTACAGTTAAATTTGACTTTGCTTAGACAAAAGTCTTGTCACTTAACAGAAATTATGTACAGTATAGAAAATAAAGTCTGCCTTTTATTTATTTTTTATGATAAAAAACTTCCTTTAACATTAAAAAATTACATCAGATTTAATATTTCACTTACACATTTATTAATAATTATCATATATTACAAATTATAAAAAAAATTGTTACAGTAATTGGCACATATCATATAGAGTATGTGCTGTATTAGTAGAACATTTATTGTAAAAAAATATAGTGTGTGTGTATACATGTATGTATGTATATATATATATATATATATATATATATATATATATATATATATATATATATATATATATATTAGAGCTGTGAGATATTTGAAAAATCTGATATTGCTATATTTAATTTTTCTCTGATTAAATATTGCAGTATGAATACAGTTTCACAATATGGTTTGAATAGCTCTATTTGATGGTTTTCTGGGAGTCTAACAGTATTCAGGTACAGAAATTTATTAATCACAATGCAAAAAAAAAATGCTTTTCTTACTTTGTTTTGTCTTGTTTCTAGTCTAAATATCAGTAAAAATAATGTTCAGTTTTAACTCTCATAAGAAATAAATGAAAATTATGTTTTTTTTCTTCTTGTTTTAAGGAAATTATCTGCCAGTGGGGTACGTGAAATAATCTTGCTTTCGCTTTGACATATTTGGACTAGAAACTAGACAAAAAATATTCTAAGTAACAAATGTTTTTTGAATAAATCATATAAACTCCATATAAATATATTTAGTCAACTATAAAGCAGACTGGATATTGTGTGTGTGTGTGTGTGTGTGTGTGTGTGTGTATATGTATGTGTGTATATATATATATATATATATATATATATATATATATATATATATATATATATATATATACTAGCATCATAATAGTCTTATTGAGAAAAAAATAAGGACTTTTTAAGAAATAATAAAATGAAAACCGAAAGCAAAAAAAATATACAAGCAAAGATCAATTAAAAAAACAAAATAATAAAGAAATTGAATTAGTACACTGTAATAAATTCACAAAATTCACAACATGTTGCTGTAATTTTTCACAGTAAATTACATTAGTGTCACTTTACAGGATTTTACTGTTAAATTGTATGTATTCAGAATTTTATTGTGAAATTAAGGCTATCATCATGGTTACAGCTGTAAAAATGGCTATATATTTTACTTAATGTTAGTTTTAGGAATTCAAACACAATTAATATTTTATTGAACAGAAATTAATAGACAATAACTTTTATGCTAGTACAGAAACTTTTTTTTTGATATTTAGAAATATTTACATAAATATTGTTATTATGAAGTACCTCACAGTGATTTACTGTGAATTTACATACAGTACTTTGCTGTGAAAGTAATGCAATTATTAGCCAGTAATTTACTGTAAACTTAGGGTGAAACATTTTTACAGTGTACTGATAAAAATTAAATGTATGCCTTTTATAAAAAATCCAACTTAAACAATAATTTTATGAATTGAGCGTTTTCACAAATGAACTGAATGCTAACATTGCTCAAAAGTGGGCTTCGGTATTTACTTCGCACACTACAAGCGACGGATCTCTAAAGCCAAAAGGGTACGCGCCTCTTCAAAATCTTCAAAGGTTTTGACCTACAGATGACTTTGTTGCAATGCAAACTCTCTATTTGCCTTCATGGCACAAGGTACTTTTCCATATCAGCATTATTCATCCCGCCGACAAAAAAACAAACAAAAAAAAAAGAGCTCTCCCTCGCCATTTTCTCATATTTGTCGTGCTGTTGACTTAGCGATACCTGCTGCTGGAAGTGTTCGCTTTGCGCCTTTGGTCTACGTGACAGATGTTTGATTCTCCATGGTTGTTCCTCATATTTTTGCCCCAATTCCTTTGTTTCCTGATCCGCCTCTGACAGGCAGCTTTCATGGCCGTGGTTGACTTTGTTTGTTCTAATGCTAACATCGCTCTCGACTTTAGCGCCACTCCTTGGCATTATCTGTCGTGACCCTGCCTGAAACCCTTCTGTTTGCCAGTCTTTGTGTTCGAATCGCTGAGCCTCTAAGCGTTTGTGGAGACAGTCCGTCCACACAGTTGCAACTTGTCTGCTTCGTCTTGTGAAGAATGGACAGAGAGGTTGACGGAAAGGGGAACAATGCTAATGGTTTTTTTTTTTTACTTTTTGGAGGTGGTTGACAATTATGTGAGGGATTTGAAGACATGCAGCTTTTGGAAACGTCCTATGATATTAAAGGCGTTGTGAGTCATCATTTTAATGTTAAAGTAAAGGAAGTCTCTTAAAAATAATAATAATAAAAGCTTTACATTTGAGTCAGTGTGTGTTTTGTTGTGTTGTGTTTACATTTGTGTTGTGTTTAATTTAATTTAATTTATTAAATTAAATGAATAATTTTATTTATTTATAAATTATTTATATTATAAATTGTATTTATTTATAATCTGTATTTTAATTTTTTAATTTTATTTTATTTCAACAAATATTTAAGTGTTTGTTTGTTCAGGATGTCACCTGAAATAAATGCCACATTAAATTAAATTAAATTAAATTAAATTAAATTAAATTAAATTAAATTAAATTAAATTAAATTAAATTAAATTAAATTGTTTTATTTATTTATAAATTATTTATATTATACATTTTATAATATTTAAGTGTTTGTTTGTTGAGGATGTGACCTGAAATAAATGCCACATAGTAGTCACATGAATTTCATTTTGAGTTTGATTCATTTTACATTTTTTAACACCACTACCAATAATAATAATAATAATAATAATAATAATAATAATAATAATAATAACAATAACATTAAAAAATAATAATACATTTTTATATATTAAAATTAATTCATATTAGTTACAAAAAGCAAGTCAATTTATCATGTGATTGATGGCTTTACATAAAATTGCATGATATAATTAAAACTCTATTTATATGAATCATTCATTCATTCATTAATTTTTTTTTCGGCTTAGTCCCACGCAGCGGATGCCCTTCCAGCCGCAACCCATCACTGGGAAACCCATACACACAATTCACAAAGCCTACTCAATTCACCTGTACCGCATGTCTTTAGACTGTGGGGGAGACCGTAGCACCCTGAGGAAACCCACGTGAATGCAGGGAGAACATGCAAACTCTACACAGCTCGAATCAGTGACCTTCTTGCTGTGAGGCAACAGCACTACCTACTGCGTTACTGTGTCGCTTTATATGATAAAGTTAAATAATTTACTCTTCCTAATGTTATTCTGAACCTCCTGTTTAACTTTCCTTGTGAAACATATTTAATTATTTAATTAATTTGTTTTATTTATTTATTTGTCACATTTTATCATTTCAGATCATCAAATAAAATTTGAAAAAAATCTAAATCAAATCAAAACACCCAGGCTTGATTACCGACACAACTTTTTTGCAAACAAGAAATCACTAAAGTAGTAATCCTGAAAATATGAAGTAGACCAAAAGTTCCTTAAAATCTAGACATCATGCTGAAATTTTAAGAAATGCTAAAACAAATGAGAAAGAAAACAATTGGGATCTACTAGTCTGGAAAAGGTTAGAAATTCATTTCTAAAGCTTTGGGACTGCAGCGAAGCACATTAAGAGCCATTATCTACAAATGGCAAAAACAAGGAACAGTGGAGAACCTTCCCAGGAGTGGTTGGGTGACCAATATTACCCCAAGAGTGCAGGGACAACTTATCCAAGAGGTCACAAAAGACCCTACAACAACATCCAAAGATCTTGCTTCAGTTAAGGTTAGTGTTCATGACTCCCCCATAAGACACTTTGCAAAAATGGTTTGGCGTTTTAAGACGAAACGCACTGCTGAGCAAAAAAATACTCATTTCGGTTTTGCCAGAAAACATTCTGATAATTCCCAAGACTTCTGGTATACTATTTCACTATTTAACTTTTTGGAAGGCGTGTGACCCATTTTGTGTTGCATAAAAGTAACATGCAGAAAAAGAACACTATTCCAACCGCAAAAAGTGTTGGATGTAGTGTGATGGGCTGTTTTGCTGCCTCAGGATGTGGAAGACTTGCGAAACCATGAATTCTGCTGTTTGCCAAAATATCCTAAAGAAGAATGTCTGGCCATTTGTTAGTGACCTCACGCTGAAGCAAGTTTGCGTTCTGAGGCAGGACAATGATTTAAAGCACACCAACAAGTCCACTTCTCAATGGCTCAAGAAAAACGAAACAAAGACTATGGAGTGGCCTAGTCAAAGTCCTGACCTGAATCCAATTGAGATGGTGTGGCATGAGCTTAAAAAGGCAGTGCATACCATCGAAAACCATCCAATGTGGCTGAATTACAACAATTCTGCAAAGGCGCATTGGCCAAAATTCCTCCACAAGTTATCAAAAATGCTTTGCTTGGAGTTGTAAGTTTAGGGGGTAAACACTTTTTCACACTGGGCTATGTAGTTTTGCATTTTGTTTCATTTCAAAAACCTGTATGATGTGTTTACTTGTTATCTTTAACTAATATTTAAATTGGTTTGAAGATCTGAAACATAAAACTTTTATATATATATATATATATATATATATATATATATATATATATATATATATATATATATATATATATATATATACAAAATCACATTTTAAACTGTTATTTCAAGATAGGATGTGTGAATAAATAAATAATACATTAGTAAAAAAAACACATTCGAATGCCACAAGCTCATATAATGTGCAAATATTCTCACTTTCCATCCCACACTACATAAATCAATCTGTCTCCTGTGGTCTTTAAGACCTCTGCCCACCAGCTTACATTAGTTTTGCATCATCGAGAGCCAACCTTTTTGTTTTATGCACAAAGAGAAGGCGCAAGCAAGTCAAAACCGCTGTAATACCTTCCACTCCCATTCATTTTATGGAGGTTTTAAATATGCCATTAGCCAATTTAATCCAATTTTCCCCGTTTTCAGGGCACTCGAGTAGGACAGATTAGGGCTAATATTAAACATATGGGCCGTGTTGCTGCTTCTACACCAAAAGGAGCTTTGAACGATGCCTGCTTTCTTACGTCTCAACCAAACCTTGTCAGTTATTCCCAGGAACATGGTAATTGATTGCAAGGGAAGCGGGCAGCAAATTAAACGTCAGGATTTATTAGCATATTGATGCCTTATCATTTGTTCATAACCAATTATCCCATCTGTTAATTAATCTGGCACTTTAATGAAAATTGTTCAAGCAGCCGGGCGATTACAAGGTCTTTAATTTGGTTTTCTCATCTTTTCCTCTCTTCCATCTTGCTCGGGATTATTAATGGTGTTTGCGTCTCTGTTGTTATCGCTTGTAGTTTAGTTGAACAAACCTACTAAAAAAGTGAGCAATCGCCACTCTTTAAGAACGCATGCATGTGAACCAACCAAGTGCTAGGTGAAGCTCTCAGAAAAAAAATGTTTTATATTATTTATTTATTTTTGCTTATTATAAAGTCATGTTTTGTGTCTTTGAAACTTAGTTTAGTTGAAATTCAAACTGTATTTTATTATATTATAGTATATTATATTATATTGTATTGTATTGTATTGTATGGTATTAAATTGTATTATATTGTATAAGGGCGGCATGGTGGCTCAGTGGTTAGCACTATCACCTCACAGCAAGAAGGTCGCTGGTTCGAGTCCCGGCTGAGCAGTTGGCATTTCTGTGTGGAGTTTGCATGTTTGCTTCATGTTGGCGTGGGTTTCCTCTGGGTGCTCCAGTTTCCCCTTCAGTCCAAAGACAGATGAATTAAATCAACTAAATTGGCCACAGTGTATGTGTGTGAATGAGTGTGTGTGGGTGTTTCCCAGTATTACAGTGGGTTGGGGTAGGAAAGGCATCCGCTGTGTAAAAGATATACAATAATAATTATACTACTACTACTACTATTAGTACTACGACTACTACTACTACTACTACTACTACTACTACTACTACTACTACTAATAATAATAATAATAATGAACTATAATTAAAACAATCTTTATTTTACCAAAATTATTGTTATTTAAAAAAATATATATTTATTTATAGCCACAACAACAACAATAATTATAATCATTAATATTTTTATATAATTATTATTAATATTTATTTAAAAATGTTTTATTTTATTTATTTACTATAATTATGATAATGATAATAATAATACAAATAATAATAATAATAATTATTATTATTATAATGATAATAGTAATAATGATAATAAGGATAATAATAATAATAATTATTATTATTGTTGTTGTTTTATTCTTCTACTTATTAAACTATCATTATTATTATTATTATTATTATTATTATTATTACTATTTAAATCTAGTTTTACATCTCTAAGAATCTAAGAATCTTCTTGACAAAACTAATACTAAAAATTAAAAAATAATCATAATAATAACATATGTTGTTATTAGAGTTGGTAATAAATAAAAAACAATAATAATAATAATAATAATAATAATAATTTTAGAAAAATCTAGTTTATTAATTTATTATGTAAAAAGTGAAACATAATAATAATAATAATATTAATAATAATAATCTTATATTTGAACCCAAGTTCAAGTTGGCTTTTATTGTCATTTCAACTATATACAGCGCAGTATGCAGTGAAACGAAACAATGTTCCTCCAGGACCAAGGTGCTACATCCAACAGCATGAATTAACAACATAACCCAGGACTGTGCACTACTATAAAAAATTGACTCTTGACTCTTGAAAAGTATTTTTTACTATATTTCCTTTTAAAAACATGAATGCCCTTTGCTCGTCTCAGTTAGTGCTTAAACTTTATCCGAACAAACCCACAACACTTAAACCTAGGCTATATCTTAGTTCTACATGCATTACTTACACTGACCTGTGATGCATGCAAGTTTTCCAACCAAGTAGACCAGGTGGATAGTATCGGCCAGTGACATTAATCAAACATTCCCTTAACCTCTGTTTCCATGTGGGTTTCTGGAGGCCTGAAAAGCCATCATTCATGCATGTGTGTGCTGATGAATAGCTCCATCACAGTCTCTTGTGCCTTCAGGCCAATGCAGACACTATACTGCACTCAATGATCTCGCTTGTCTGCTGTGTTTATGCTGATAATTACTGTCATATTTTCACAGTGGTAGTGTGTATTTGTCTCCTTGCTCATAATATTTGTCTCTTCACTGAAGTTAATCAAATTCGCATTGGTTTTAGGGATGTAGTGTTTTCTTTGCTGAGTATCAGTGGATTCTGGAGGCCGTTTGGTTGAAGTGAATAACCAGTGTGTGTCTGTTTGACACTGGGGTTA